TTCCGAAGATGACCGAAGGCCTTACGGGTTTTGAACAACACGAGTGTGTGTAATTAATGACAGAATTTTCATTTTTGGGTGAACTAACCCTTTAATCTAAGTTTGAATAAATCTGTCATGAAAACAAATTTTTATTGCAGCCACCTTTTCAACAAATTGGAGTAGAAACATAATTATGTCATTATATAATTTTAATGTTTATATACAACTTTTATTTGAGTGTTGATTATTAAATACATTTAATTACTTAATTGATTATTGCATTAACTGTATTTTTGGTTTTCGTGCTAAATGAAAACTTTTTAATTTCAGTTTCGGTATTTCAGGTAAAAAAAAAAGTGCATCACTAATTGCTAACTTTCATAGTAGTATGCAAACAAGTGCTTTTCTTCTGATGACTGATGGTTTTGGGTAGTTTGTGTAATTATAGCACCAGTTAGCCACAACCATGTGACCAGCCTCGAGACGTTTGGGCCTCTGTGGCCTCAAGCCTGAAATCAATAGCATTTATTCTCCTTCTGTTTAACACTTTTGAAATATTTGCCCGTTCAGCTGGTGTTGGCAGAATGGGCTTGATTTATGCCTGCACAGGTGCTGGGAACTGGTAGGTGTGCATTTAAAGCAGGTTGTATTTACTTTGCCCTCGGGTGCAACTTTGGGTGTATTTCTTTTGTCTTTCGGGGTGGGCTTGTCTAAAGACATGGTCAGGGGAGGTGAAAATAGTCAGTAAATGAGACTGTTTTCACAGTACATATTTATTTACCCTAATCTGTCAGTGCATTTTGTTACAAAACTTATTGAGCTCAGTTATACTGACTTTGATAGTTACAACAGAGGCAGTTAGCTGTTCTCCCAGCTTGGCCAGGCTAGTTAGGTTGGTCTGTTTTGAGTATTGATTTTTTTTATTTTTTTTTATGTCAGCTGTTAAGCTAGTTTATTATTATTATTATTATAGCTGTTATTTTTCAGCATGGGTATAACTAAAAGGGTAGATAAAATGGGGTTTGTCTACTTTGAATTCTAGGACGTTTATAGCTTGGTTTCGAACAATGGTTTCGAAGTAGCTTCCACAACACTGCTAATGAATGCTAATGAAATCGGGTCTGTTACAAAACGGACATTCCCCTTTTCCACGGTCAATAAACGTTCTCATCATTTCATAATTTCCTCACCAGTAATTCTCTTCACACAATGAAAAACAAGGGAGTCTTTGCACATTGTAATGTTTGAGCTCTCATTAGGTTTACTGCATGTTTGTTTTGTGTGTGGAATAAGTGTTCATATACTGCTCTATATGCTACTGAACTCAGAGAAAACGATTATGTCGACCACAAGAGAACCTGCTTTTGCAACAATTTTTAGGCTGCGTTGTATATTACGAAAAGTTATGTTTGTAGGATCAGGGTGCTGAAATTAACTCTGGGAATGGAGCGGCTACAGTATTTCGATATGTCTTTTTTATTTATGAGGATTTATCTCTGTGTTTCCTGCGATTTACAGTAACATGGCAAATAAAATACTGTTCAAAAGTAATACTCAAAACAACACTTTTATCCAGCAAGGAGGCAATAAATTGGTCCAAAGAAACAGTACAGACATTTATAATGTTACAAAATATTTATCACAGTATCACAGTTTCCACAAAAATATGAAGCAGCACAACTGTTTTTAACATTGATAATAATCAGAAATGTTTCTTGAGCTGCAAATCAGCAAATTATAATGATTTCTGGAGGATCATGTGACACTGAAGACTGGAGTAATGATGCTGAAAATTCAGCTTTGATCACAGGAATAAATTACATTTTATAATATATACAAATAGAAAACAGTTATTTTAAATTGTGTTAATATTTCACAATATTATTGTGAAATAAGTCCTGCCTTGGCGAGAATAAGAGACTTCTTTCAAAAAAATGTTTTTTGAGCAATTTTATATATACTTGTGTATCATGTATAAAGCTATGCTAAATTGCTTGATTGATTCAAATTGTTTTAATGAAGTGGGGGAAAAAAGCCAAACAATGTGTTGGTTAAAAATAGTATGTTACATGTTTTTAAGCTATTTTTAAGCTTGAGCTTTTACGCTGTACTGCAAACCACACATGTTCTCATACAAGGCATTTTTTTGGCCCGTCTGAGTCTAACAATATCTGACTTTGGTGGAATAAGAGGTGTGTGTGTGCCTGTAAACACCTGAGTGATTGTGTGTGTGTTGTACTTTTGGGAGAGTGTGAATATATGGGAGACATTCATCACACTTGGCATCATCTATCCCAGACTCCCCAGCCCATGACACGTGGAAGAATGCCGGAATGAGTCGCCCTGGGGGCGTTTTCTCAGAGGAAGCTAAAAAGGCAGAGCTTCCATAAAAATAAAATTGGACGTGAAAATTACTATTTTCACAAAAAATAAAACAAAAAAATCCCAAAATTTGTGAAATATGAGATTGATTGGTATGTAAATCATCTTTAGAAAGCGATATGAAAGCGAGATGAAGGTTCAGAGGGAGGCAGAGTCTCTTTTGCCTGCTTTGAGTTTATTGTGTTCTCATTGAGATTTTATTGCATGACTTGAATGTGAGGCGAGCAGTGTTGGGGAAAGTTACTTTTAAAAGTAATGCATTACAATATTGCGTTACTCCATAAAAACGTAACTAATTACGTTACTTAGTAACATTTTATGGAAAGTAATGCGTTACGTTACTTTTGTGTTACTTTTTAAATCTGCACAGGGCTTGCATGTTTGTTTTTAAAATAAAAAAAGTTATATTTTGTGTTTTTTAGTAGATTTTGTTATTTTATATGTGTGTATAAAATGTTTTAGGAATGCACGATATTATCGGACCAATATCGGAATCGGCCGATAACGTGTTTAAATGTAAATATCGGCATCGGCCTGATATGAATAATTATGCCGATTATGTCTTGCTGATAAAAGGAATACATTAACTCACATGTGCTAGTGATTAGATCACATCAACAGTGTGATTAGATCACGTCAGCATTGTGGCTCATTCTTGAAGCAAAGTTTTGCCTGAATGGTGATTGGATTCACTGTTTTGATCGCTGCATTTAAAGTGAGAATGCACATACAGAATGACGCGTTTTGTGTATGATAGAGTAAACAGTAATAGCACGTGCAGCGGCAGCAGCGGCAGCCTCCCCCGGGTCCTAATACCCGCTTAGTTAGGAGTTTTAATTCCGTAGGGGGCGCTGTTGGCCTACTTCTAATAAAATTAAAGAAAAATACACAAATTATTATAGTTTTATTTTTATATTTTCTGTTTTCATTTTAATTGTAGTTAAAGTTTTAGTAATTTTGTTTTGTGTTTTTTAGTAGATTTTGTTATTTTATATGTGTGTATAAAATGTTTTAGGAATGCACGATATTATCGGACCAATATCGGAATCGGCCGATAACGTGTTTAAATGTAAATATCGGCATCGGCCTGATATGAATAATTATGCCGATTATGTCTTGCTGATAAAAGGAATACATTAACTCACATGTGCTAGTGATTAGATCACATCAACAGTGTGATTAGATCACGTCAGCATTGTGGCTCATTCTTGAAGCAAAGTTTTGCCTGAATGGTGATTGGATTCACTGTTTTGGATCGCTGCATTTAAACTGAGAATGCATGTACAGAATGATGCGTTCGGTGTATGATAGAGTAATAGCAGGTGCAGCGGCAGCCTCCCCTGGGTCCTAATGCCCGCTCAGTAAGGAGTTTTAATTCCGTAGTGGGCGCTGTTGGCCTACTTCTAATAAAATTAAAGAAAAATACACAAATTATATTTAGACAGTGTTTCTGATTAAATAAAGCAGTCATTGATGCCATAAAATCTTGAGTATGTTTTGATTTAAAGGTCAGAAGCTATAGCTTACATGAACAAAAAAAAATCTATTTTCAGAATTTTTACAACTCTTTTGCTTTAGACCATTTACAAATGTTAAATCATAAAATAAAATGTTAAGGTTACCACTGCATCTTTCTGAAAAAAATTATTAATATAGTTTATTTATAGTTATTTTCAAATCTTCAATGTACTGTCATTATAACATTTTATTTTATAATTTTATTTAATTCTAACAAATAAGTTATTGTAAAAA